TCTCACACAGGCCATCTAACTCTAAAATGTTCTAAAATAACCATGAGTTATTTTGAAAATAGCCGCAAATTTCAAGCAAAAGATAGCGCTACTGAACTCTTTTTTGAAGTAGACATCATTCCTGAAAATTTTCGACCACTCGTGATTAATTAGATCATTAATCACTCTGTGATCTGTTCAATTAAAACGATCCTTGTTGGTGACAATTATTTAGGAATCAATTTTTAGTTGCAAGTCAAGTTTTCAACTATAATTCAGCAATATAACTCCAACTTTAACTTTAAATCAAGATGTTAATGCTTGCTTTTAATTTTCCGTCGTTTTTTCTCCTGTAAACCTCAATTGCTATTTTTTCTGCACCTTGATAAGAGGACCAGGGCGCCTGGATCGCTATTTCTCGGCATTGAGGTCTCCGATTCCCGCCGACACCTTAACTGATATTTTCCTGAGTGCAATTTTCCCTTGCACTGCATCATTTGAGTCTATTTCCTACGGTGGAGATTTATTGTTTTTTTTTTCATGCAATATAATACCATGTTTACTACTGTTAATTCTGCTGACCTAAAAGCAACTTTTTCTGCATCGCGAATTCCGCTTTTTTTTTTTTGTTCCACATCTGTTTTTTCGCGGTTATAATTTGAGTTTTACTGCTGTACATCCTTCTTGAAACGTGGATTGATGTTTATGAGCAGTTCTATTTCAGTTTTCTTGTTATTCCTCTGTTTAGTTTTGATTTTTCGTTCCCTGCGCAACATTCTTCCTTCTAATTTTTAATTTTTTAATCTATGTGCGAATTTCATTATTCTAGTAATTGGAATTAGAATAACTGATACCGCCTCTTCGGTTCAATCTTAGTATTTTTATATCTATAAAACTTCGATCGCGACATTTGCTAAAGACTGCAGTAAAGTCTCCCTCCAAGCTGCCTTAGGCATACTGTACATTTTTCTGTCCGTAATTTCACTGCATTTTATACAGATGTAAACATTACAGCATAGAAAATACGCAGTGCTGCGTTATGCACGATCGAAAGCTGCATATTCACCATTACTTTCGTAGAATCCCTGGAACACTTTCTCAAATGTTAGTCAAATATCTCAAGGAGTGGCACACTCGTATTCATTTCAGTCACGCGCAGAAGGAATTAGAAAGTATATCCTAGCCCTTGCGTCCATTTTCATTTATTGTTTTTATGAGCTAATTTGCCAATAATTGGCATTCCAAAACTCAACCTCGGCTGCCACACGTCCAGTTGAGTGACACTATCTTATCGAAAAATTCATTTGGAATTTTTTTCAGGACAAAAAAATTAAATTAGTGCTTCCGTAAAATTATTAACATGTGATTATTAAGTTGATCTGGGAATATTTTAAGAAGCTTATGTTTTATCATCACAAAATGAGAACAAATAATTTCCAATGACGGATGAAACATTCAATGAAATTTAATGCAATGCAAGACAATCACTCCTAAGTTTTCTAAAATATTACGAATAGCCTTCTACGAAAACTTCTTAACCACGATTGGTTACGCACTATCACGGTACCTAACATCTAGAGGATTTTTTCAAACTCTCGATACCGAAAAGCAAATCTGAAAGAAACCACGGCCAGGCAAGAATGTTTAGCTCCAGCTTGAGGTGAGAAGAGACCCGTATATGAGCTAACGGTCCAGCAACTCCATAGGCCGCCGCGCCGGTCAAACCTAAACTAGGCTACAAGGCAATCCGCTTCTGCTCCTGTAAGAACTTCCAGGCCCCGTAATATCTCATCAGCAATCCGACTTCTTGTGAATCGTATTTTAGAAGTAGTCTTTGATATTTAGAATTCCATTTTATTTATGAAATAATCAGGATGCGCTCTGTGATAGGATACTGTTTTTTTATTAAATATTACTTATCAAGCTCATACTTTGAACAAACTAATGCAAGACCATATCAATTGTTTCGAATATGGAAATTTTATCTAAATTTGTCATTTAGTTTTGTTCCGATCGACGCAACTCTCATAGACAGGGTACAGCACTTTTCAATGTGTAAGAAATACAAAAAAAAAACAATGCGTTATGCTCTCTCTCTGTTAGCCCCCGAATGGATCCAGTGTTTATTATCATCTGATACGAATGCAAAACTCCCACTTTGGGTTTCGGAATTCCACAAAATGGGTTTCGGAATTCCACCAAATGGGTTTCGGAATTTCACAAAATTGCCATTGACTATTTCGAAATTCTACAAGCTTTCTCGGTTACGAACAACATACCCCCTACTTCCATTGATCCGCATTGAACCGGACGTGCCGTTTTTACACACGTTCCCGCTGAGGTATCGAGGCATCAAGGGAAAGTTTGGCTGCTTCTGGCATTTCGCTCTCTTTCTGAGAGTCTATTTTCAGATGCCTTTGAAGGTTTCCGCCTTCGAAAATATTCTTGTTCAGTGGTATCTTAGACTTTAAATTAACGCACTTAATTTATCATCGATTTCAAACAAAGAATAAAGTTCCTCTGTAGAAAAAATATTTTCTCGTAAAAACTTTTTCGTCCACGAAGACGATTTGAATTTCATCCCACTTACTGTCATAAAATAATTGGGACATTGCACTTTCACGCGTGTATACTAATAATATTTTTCTGCAAACGTTCATCTAATAATATTAGTTTATTTTGCAGGCTTTGTTCCATTAACGTCCGGTGAAATGTTACGGTAAATGTAAAAATCTGACAGATTTTTGGCTGAATGGCTTCTAATGATATTATCGCTCCAGGGTTTAAAGGAACTTCATCTAAGAAATATCAGCATCAATTCGTCCCGCACCTGTTGTAGCATCCACATACTCGACTTGAGCAGCCGGATGGACAAGGCGTCCGAGAACGCTGAACGAGTTTCACTTTTTTTGCCTATTTAACCGGCAGGGCAAGTCGTCAATAAGGGACCACATGCCAACTAGCGTGCTATGCTTCGTAGCTGCATAGTCGGTAGGCTTACCAAAGTACTGCTTGCTACAGTATGTAACAATTTTAATTGGGCTAAGGCCTAAGCGAATAACGACCGACCTTGTGTTTGAAATCTAGTACCTGCAAGTCAACCACGGGAGCTTCGATCTGCTCGAAAATCTTGAAATTTAACAAACCTGCACTTGAAACTAATATTTTGAATATTCAAAAATTCACCATGGAAAAATTTGACATTTTCAGATTTTTTTCATCGCAGAAAAATGTTCCCGTTAGCAGTTGTGCAACGGTGACTCATGGAATTTGCCTGCAACCACACCAAGAGGTTGTCAGTAAAAAGAAAGTCAGCTGGAAGAAATATTCATCCACTGTCGGCTTTCAGATTCTAATTTTAAATATTCATGAGTGTTTTTATCTTGTTGAGAACAATAAAGACTTTTAGCACTGCATTTTTTTATAGGAGTAGGAGTAACGCCAAGTAAATTCGTCATATTTTCATTGAAAACATTTCAGACACCGGGTCCATCATCAGTCCAAAAAGTTCTATAGAATGCAAAAACAATTATTCTTGAAAATCTAAATGGACAAGAAAGAGACTAATACTTATGTAACGAATATGTAATATTTTTTTCTGAAGTTTTAGAGTTTCACTGATGATTGTTTTTATATTCTACAAAACCTTTTGAACTGATGATGGAGTTTTTTTCCGGAACGTTTTCAACGGAGATCTGGACAATTTAGTTGACGTTTTCGTTGCTTTGGGTAACATATGCGATTTAAGCAGACTAATGGTTAAGTACTTAAGAGATACGAGATAGAAGTACGAGTACATTTTGTACTGTATATACGACTTAGAGAACAAGTTAGAGATATGCGTTGGAGGTGCAAGTTGGAGATACTAGTAGGAGATACTAGTAGGAGATACTAGTAGGAGATACGAGTAGGAGATACTAGTAGGATATACGAGTAGAAGATACGAGTAGGAGATACGAGTAGGATATACGAGTAGAAGATACGAGTAGGAGATACGAGCAGGAGATACGAGTAGGAAATACGAGTAGGAGATACGAGTAGGAGATACGAGTAGGATATACGAGTAGAAGATACGAGTAGGAGATACGAATAGGAAATACGAGTAGGAGACACGAGTAGGATATACGAGAAGGATATACGAGTAGGAGATACGAGAAGGATATACGAGTAGAAGATACGAGTAGGAGATACGAGCAGGAGGTACGAGCAGGAGATACGAGTAGGAAATACGAGTAGGAGATACGAGCAGGAGATACGAGTAGGAGATACGAGTAGGAAATACGAGTAGGAAATACGAGTAGGAGATACGAGTAGGAGATACGTGTAGGAGATACAAGTTGGAGGTACAAGATAAAAATGCGAGTAGCACAAAAGAGTTGCGGATATTAGTAGAGAATCGAGTAAGGACACGGACAATCAAATTGAGTTTTGATCCATTAAGGCTGTTGCCGTACGTCGGCAGCTTTCTTCTCGTTTTTATTCCAGAATTCCGGTTCAAAGTTTATTCAATCAAATTATTATTGACATCCAAGTTTAGCTTAGTTAACATCAAACTCTAGGACTGATTTTGAAATATTTTTTGTCGTTAAATCAAAATTTTAACTAATATAATTAATGTAATATCTCAGCTTTATAAGTTACATTCTAACTTCTTTCGAATCGAGAGATAAAACTTCACAATAATGTGGAATGTTTTATGATTATTTTATCTCACCATCGCCATAAAATATGAAATGCATGATGTTCAACAATAATATTATTCTTTCTTGCAAGCACCATAAGATAATATTATTCTTTCTTGCAAGCACCATAAAATATGAAATCGTCTATTGTACTAAAAGAAGCTGCATGGTCTAGAGCTATACTCAGTCAAGCCGTTGCGGTTGTTGGTTTGGCGGCACAATATTTGGGATCGCAAAGAAAGTCTGTACCTAAATTGCATTCGCACAAATGCTATTCATTTTTATGCATAGTGAACGAAATCATTCCTACGTCTTTTTCTGTTTGAGGAGATGTAAATATTTTTGCAGAGTTACATTTATCTTAGAAAATATTTAGACAAATGTAAGTTGCGAAAATCTTAAGTACACGCAAAGTTTGTTTTTTCAGTAGTCTTGTAGTAGATGGATCAAAGATCTGAGCTCAACTATTTCGATACCTTACGAAATTTGGAAAAAATATAAAACTATTTGCACCTCATTAAAAATATTAATTGTTTCTATCGATACTTTCATATTCCAGATACTTCTATTCCACCAAGGTAAAACAATGAAGATAACATTTGACCATGTGAAAGGTTAGGTTAAGTAAATCAAAAGCTTCAATATCATATCAGGCTTATTTAACTTTGTGTGATAAAATCAACTCATTTATAATTGGCCTACGATTATCTTTGGCATGAAATGATGCATTAACTCGGCACCTCGAACTTCTTAATCAAAATACATTGAATATAACTAACAGCTCCTGCGTTCAAAAAACCAAAACAGCTTCACACTAATTTTTATTTGTAAAATTTTAAATATCACTTTTAAAACACTATGAAGTTTCATTAATTTCTGCCTAAATAAATTCTCCTACAAGGAAGTTTTAGTACCTATCCAATAAAGACAGGAACGTTTTTTGGCTCCACTTCTGCATTGATTTTGTAATGCCCATTAATATAAACTACAAGTCGCAATTAATTTTCAAGTAAAAAGTTACACAAAACAAACTTCTAAAAAGAGATACAGTGATTGCGATATTCGTTTATCAAATATTCGTTTTCCATGATGATATTATAAGAATATTCGTGTATCAAATATTAAATGACCAAACTAACGTTACGCAGTAAAACCAATAATAATTGTAAAGTTCTCTCACTGGCGTGTGCCTTAAACACTGTAAAAAAAATTTTCGCAATCAGTATACTAACGATGATTCTTAAAATGTCAGAATAACATTATATTTCAATTTGACTCGCTACTATACTCACGTAATGGATATATTTCAACTCCATCAGTAAAGCTCCCAGCCTAGTTATTATCGCCTTTTAAATTTAAATTTCTTCACTTTCAGAGCAGAAAAATTCCCGATTGCTAAAGCTGAAATATCAAATGTACTATGATGAATCTTGTTCACGTCATGCTTATTTTATCCTAAATTTGGCAAATCGTGCAACTCGATTGCAGCTTCCGACCGTCCCTCTTGATCGCCTTGGCCTCCATCAGAAAAAGCACCCCGTTTTTCCTCATCTGTCAAGTGCAGTTCCTCGCCTTCAACGTAAAGTTTGCTTTTATCCAATGAAAAATTAACGGCTTTTAGTGGCTGGAAGGAATTGGGCAGCAGAGAGTCGCCCTGGAATTTGGCTGGGTCCGGTGACCTGGGCCGTTCTACTTCAAACTGGTCCGAGTCTTTGCCGTGGGCGAGTCGATCTGAGTCCTTGACAGTATGGTTAGAGTCGTTGAAATCACCCTGGGAGTCCAATAATTCTATAAGAGTCGTATTCGAAGGAGATTCGTGAAGGAAATCTCTCCGGAAGCTGCTGCCAGTGCACGGACGCCATTGTTCTACACCGACCGAACCAACGTAGCACCTGCAAAAATTTGGAATTTCAGTTTATCATCTATAATGCGGGAGAAAAAAATAAATGCTCGCCTTGTAATTCCTCAATAAAACTGTTCGACGCTACGAGATTCAACGTTGTTTGAATTGTCTAAATGTATCAATTATGTACGTAAATGTTGTCTGTAAAATGTAAAAGATCTGTATCAAGTGCCATTGATCAGCAATATCATACGCGCACGTAGAAACTGTACTGTGCTTGATAAAAAAAAAACTAGTAACGGTTTCCCCGACATACCACTTGAAGGCCTCGTTGTCCCCTGCACTGCAGACCTGGTCAGGCCTGCAGCAGTAGTCCCAGGCCCCTACGGCGTTGGTCTCACAGTACCAGTAGCCCCCAAGCTTGTCTTCCGTGCAGCGATTGCGACCGTAGCAACGCAGCCCCGACACCGTCTCAGTGCCACCCTCAGACGTCAAGAACGCCGAGTCACCTGCAGCAAACCAGCATTTAATAGTTTAGATGTTGCATGTAATAGTTTGGACTGCGTGTTCATCGTTTGAGCGACTGCAACAATCGTCATATGCAGCCTTAGCACTTCACTTCACCCCTATAAGCAGTCATGCCGGGAAATGATGTTGGAACAACGTTTAGTACGAGTTGATTTGGTTGAAACAAAGTTTAATCAACGTTATTTCAACATCAGAAGCCTCTTGGAAAGGGGTCACACCAGAAGCCGTGAGGAGGGTGCCCTAGCGAATATTTTAGTTGGAGTTCACTGTCCTTGGATCCGGGTAAGTCGCATCCATGGAGAGTGTAATTGAAATCGACCTCTGGAGGCCACGCACAGGACCCAAGGGCAACATAAATTTCTTTGTATCGAAAGGAAGTCGATTAGTTAAGATAAAAAATTACAGTTAGATTCCCAAAACATTAGGAAGCAGTGAAAATTTTTAGACCAAAAATTTATTATCTTATCTCATGACAATATACAAAAGGAAAATACAATGTATCGATTCGACTATTGATTAAATTAAATGTTGGAAGTACACACTTGCTTGCAAGTTGCAATGAAGTAACCACAGTTGAGACATTTTTCGCCTATTTCATTTCTGTGTGCATATAGGAATCGATGTACATACGGAATCGATGCATACATGAATCGACGTTTGCTCACTATTGGTCGGGAAAAGTTTGCTCACATCTGGACTGTAGTAAAAAAATACGTATTTTGTCAAAGAATTGGTAAAATTTTACAGAGTTCCACATTGATTACGTTTTCTTAACAACAAGGCAAAAACTCCAAGGACATTACAATTCAAAGTCTACCTTGGCCATAATATTGAACTTTTCATTGATGACCATTTCGTGCCGATTCTTTCGAAAATTTTTACATCCTTTTCGTTTTAAACGGCAATGTAATGACCATATGTCACGCCTGGAAGTCCACCACGGATAAGGCAGCGTTTACCTTGGTACACATATATGCAAGATTAGTTTTTCGATCAGGTATTTACCTTTAATTCTTAATTTCCACATAATTATGCAATCATAAACTGAAATTCTACCGTTACAAAATCACCATTTTTATTTTGAAATACGGCTCTAGAATACCAGACGTACTGAATCCGCCATCGCATTCTCTGTCGTAGATCCTGCGCTGGAAGACGTCGTAGCCCGAGTCGATGGGGAGGTCGAAGGCGCTGATCTGCGTCACCTCCCTGGCGCTCAGGAAGCAGTTTTCCTCGCGTCGTGCAGCGCTCCGGTAGCTGGTTAGATGAAGGTTTCAAATAACTTAGATTTTCAACCGACCATAATTCATTTAATAACATTATATTCATTCATAGTAACGTGTTTTATTAAAGTTTAAATTATTCCCGAATACACGAAAGCAGATTCTTTATAAGAAAGGTTTGCTTCTGTTGAAATATTACGACACAATAGGAATTTTGGGCTCAACTAATCGGTTAGCCTTAAGCGATTCTGTTAGCCTTAAGCGCTTAAAGTGTCGCGTCGTTTGATATCAATCAGCAGCGTCCCAATCTTTGGTCAATATTTATCTCAAGTGTTTCGAGGCCCTACTTAGTGTTTGAATAAATCAGCAACACACAATTATAGGTATCTGCCAATAAATTGGTGCGTAGAAAATCAGAATTGTTGGTGTAATTCAATTCACAACGATTCGGGTATGCGACAATTCATAAACATCTAGAAGCCTTGAGTTCAGTTCGGTTTCGTTATTTATATCAGTGCCCATGGCTGAGAAGACCTCACTTGAATGCAAAGGAGCGGCACATGAAGTGTCGGCTTTGGTGACATCGCAGCTTGCAGTCGTTGACGTCTGTGGCGCGTAGTTGGTCCCTGACCACACGCAGGCCCAGCCTCGTGTTGGCTCGTGCCAGGCGATAACAGTCTGATGATGGGTCGTCATACTTTAAGTTGACGTTAAATTAAGTGAACATAATTCAACAAAATATTTTCTCCCGAGCACATTTCTAAAGACCAAAATTTTACAAAAATAATTTACCCTGTATATAAAAATTTCATAAAAATAATTTAGATACCCTGCTCGTTGTAAGTGACGGCGCTCTTGGCACACACCATCTGGAAGGTGGTCGTAACTCAACGAAAAATTTGTGCATAACGAAAAAATAATATAATTGGCATTGCAGTCAAGCAGTAAATAATAATATAAATTTGGATCCGAACCTTCCCTGAAGAGGCCGAAAGACTGCGTAGGTAATGTGTTGCTCGTGCCGCTGCTGCCCAGACCTCCCAAGCCGAACCCTGACGAAAAGCCGCCACTGCCTGGCCTCAAGCGATCGCCAAGTCTGGAATCTCCTCCGGATACTACACTTGTGCCAAATCTGTCGCCAGTTCCACTACTTGCACCAAAGCCGAAAGGAAGCCTTCCACTGGTTGCAGAAGGATTTCCTGGTCTTTTGAAAGTCTCTTGGCCTCCAGGACTGTTACCCAATCCAAACAAGCTGCCGGAATGGTCAGTAGAACAATTACACACTACTGGGGACTTGTGATCAGAAATTGGTCTAAATAAGTTAGAATTACCTGAAGTGCCGAACTGGGGTGCGTTCTGACTATGATTAATGAAGGTGCGGATTGGTCGGGAAGTAGTAATAGGAGGATTTCCAAAACTCGCTGTTCCAGAGCCAAAATGTGAAAAAGATAAGTCACTGACTGTGTTGGGGCTTGGCGTGCTCGTTTGCTTCCTCCTTCCTCCTGGAAAATCGAACATAATGTTTGGAAAATTTACATCCAATGGAAGTAATGTAGGTTGAACTTCTTGTTTCCTCTCTGATGCAGTATTATCTTGAACAGAGCTAGTTTTTGTATCTCTGTTCGTTACTGGAAAGTTCTGGTTTACTCGAAAAAACTGATTGCGTTGATTATGGAAATCGCGGGTTCCACCGCTTTCAAATTGATCCCTATCATCATCAGTTGAATTAGCACTATTTAAATTTACGGTGAAACGATTTCGGTTGGAGTTGCTACCTGAAAAGCGCGAGTTTTCCCCAAGAATGGAAGATGGAGACGTTGTGTCCGCAACATTTCTGTTGTGAATTCGAAAATCGCTTTCAGCCTGACGTGTGTTTTCAGCCCGTTGTGGGTGCTGGAAGACGGAATTACTCCCTCTACTGACTTGACTGTCATCCCTATCAACAGTTTGCCTAAACCGGTCATCTGTCCGTTGGTTGTTTACAAATTGAACGTTATTTAAAGGTCTGAACCTGTTGTCATTGTCTATTGATGCGTCGTTAGAATTAAATTGATTGGTTTGGGACCCAGAGTTGGTACCACTGATTGGCTTGAATCTATCATCGGTAATTCCAGTAGAACTCGCAAAAAAGCTCCCGAACGTACTTGCTAAGTTACCCCCATTAGCAGTTGGACTTCTGTGGACTACTGCGTTGTTACGCTCTGGAATTGCACCTGAAGGCTTATTGTTTGATGAACTTTCATGTGCGGAGCCCCGTTGAACAAAAGAAGCTCCCGAACTCTGAGAAACTCTTGGCGCGTGGATGGTATTTGACAAATCAATCCATTTAAATTTATCGTCATCTGATTGATCATAATTGTCAGGGTTTAACCAATAAAATCTATTGGTTTCATCATTGGAAACTCGTGTGTTGGACGATGGAAGCTTATGAGCGTTGCTTGTATCTATAATATTATTTTCCGGACTAACTTCGTTTCTGTTCGGTATCCTATGTAATACTACAGAATTGAAACTATTCGAATTTGGTTCTCTTCTTGGATCCGAAAAAAAATCCGGGGAAACTCTATGAAACTGAACTCTGTTGTCTGGTCTTACATTGTTGCGCCTCTCACTGCTCGTGATTATAAAATGCTGATTGGAAGGGCGAATCGGATCTAATGATTCGTTCTGAAGAATGTCGCTAAAAGCACCTCTATCATTCAGTCTGTCGCTGGGAAACCTGGTGCTTATGTCATTACGGTTGACTCCTCCATTGGACTGCGTTGCTAAGCTTGACCCTGATGGACCTCCCTGAACTCTTTTGAATTTTATGTTGAGATTTGGATTTCCGTGAGAAGCAATGTTGCTGCCTGTTGGCCAGCCTCCAGTGACAGTATTTCTCTGAGTCCCACCAGGACGTCGAGACCCAATGGGCCGTCGAGTGATGATCGTGTTGCTGTTTGTGGTAATTGTTGAGCTTGCTGAAGCAGGAGTAATGATAGCTGTATTACTAACAGTTTCGGAGTTGGTAGTTATCAGATGTTCGTCATCTGTACTGGCTATGGTTGTTAGATGATTTGCATTGTGGGATCCGTGCACTGCAACTCCGTCTGTCCTGACTTCCGATATGCTACTAGCAGAACCACTTTGAACAACAGGCTGGCTTACGAATGGTCTTGGTTTTCTATGAATAACTTCATTTAAATGGGTATCAATAGGATTGTGCACCGGGAAAGAGTTAGATGATAAAACGGCAGTACCAGTGATGGGTTTTCTACTAACGGACGTATCAAAATTATCCAGTTGTTGAGGAATGGCCGTTCCAATCAACCCAAAGTCGGGCACGTTGAAATGCGAGCCTGTGTGTCCCCTGGAGGGTATGTTTTGGGACACAGACCTACTGGGTGACGCAGTTATTATATTTCGGAATACACTACTTGGAGTGACCGCGCCTGAAGGCGTCAATGCGTTCCTCAGTTCCCAGTCTGTGAGCCCCTGCCGGGTGGTTGTTGTGCTCGGTGGGTCCAAGTGGTTAGGAGGCAGAGGCCTGAAAGAAGGTGAAAGCCATTTGTACAGCACAAGGTATGAAGGAAGACGAAAAATCCAAAGGCTCCTCGATTGAGTGTGTTTGAAACTTTAGCAATGTTTAAAAGCAGTTTGAGCAAGTTAATCGAGCCTATATTTGTTCTAATTTTCCTCGTTCTGTGGGCTAAATGAACTTATTTGCATGATGTCAATTGATTTATTCGTCTTTTCTTAGAAACTTTTATTTTTAGGATACAAGTTCTTCATGAAATTTGAAATAAAATCCAATCAAGTTCATTATGATTCATGAATAAGAAGAAAATACATGGGCTTTTTTGGGTATTGAAACAGAAAATAGGTCTTTCAATTTTTCATCAAGTTGCAGGATTTTAATCTTCCACAAAACGAAGAAAGCTGGCACAAATAAACTATATTTGGTGCATAGCAGCTGTACAGTGCCTTAATTCAAGTGCATTATATACACAAGAAAATTTGTATGTACAAAAGCAACGAAAAGATCACAAAAAAATTCCACACTGCTTTAGACAGTACATCAACACAAGCCAGTAAAATTTTGGGTCAAAACGTCGACTATTGGCATTATTTTTGCAACTTTCTATATGAAAATACGTCATTGGCGAAAATTATTGATGAGTACAAGCCATATTCCAATATTCCAGATAAATCAAGATTTTTTAGCAAAGCTAGAAGGATAAGGTGCAGTTACTCTAGAAATTGATTCATGTACAATAATGAACATATTAAAAAATATTGAAAAACGACCATAAAATGACATATATATGAACCAGGTTGACACTGAATATTGAGATCAATCACTCGGGTACTTGCTTTGAATTGGAAATTCTGTAATCATCATTTTTTCAGTAATAACGAAGAATAAAATTTGGTGTAAAATGAGTAGTAGAAAATTAATTTTCATGTCACATATAATAGTAAAAAATGTCATTAAAATTTATTGATAGATTAATTAAGATGTAATATCAAACTTCAAAAAGATTTTCGTGGCTATTATGAGATAGGTAGATTTAATTTTCATTGCAGAATTTCCGGGTAGGCACTCGTCGTACAAATTTATCAGTCAACTTACCTGCCACCAGTAGTATCTCTACGTACAAAACAGTGGTAACAATACGATACGAGAATATACGCTTCCACCCTCGAATAACATAAGTAATATCAAAACCTCCAATAATAATAACGGCACTGGAAATTCAGACTAACATACCGGTCTCTGCATCTCCATCAACGCAACTGCCATTAAATCTCCCCCTACGCACTACCCTTGCATCTCAGCCAACTCATGCACCTGCCCTTTAATCTTCACCAACGCACTATCCCTACCAACGCACCACCCTATCAACCGTATATAGTGTCTACCAACGCACCACCCTATCAACCCTATAGTGTCTACCAACGCACCACCCTATCAACCCTAGCTATAGTGCCTATTAACGCACCTGCTATCTACCAACGCACCACCCTATAGTGTCTCTACCAACGCACCACCCTATCAACCGTATATAGTGTCTACCAACGCACCATACTATCAACCCTATAGTGTCTACCAACGCACCCGCTATCTACCAACACACCACCCTTTAATGTCTCTACCAACGCACCTTCCCTCGCAATCTCTGCCCAGCTTTGTTCTCTCGTAGAAGTCGAAGTCGTGGTCCACATGAAAGACCCTTTCGTCATCCAGGTCGGCGCCGTACGTGTCCTGGAGGCTCAGCTCGCAGTTGGGGGCGGTGCTGCGGTTGTCCCGGGTCCTGTACCTGAGAGGCGAACTCTATAGTTATAGGCAGTGTTGATAAAATGGCCTACATTACGCTTTAGTTAATTTTATTTTTATGAACTTGATATTCAATCTTACGAGCTGAGGTTTGAAGGAAAATATGTTAATTAGCGAAGGAAACTGCAACACTAAATTTTTAATTTTCAAATGCAATGGAATTTAATTTCGTACATAGGATAGTGCGAAAATTCCGATTTCTTCCATTCTATTTTGCCATAAACCGCTACACATTGCAGTGCAGAGAACTATTATTTATATAAAGTAGTAATATGTTATTTCAATGTCATTATTATTATCAATTCAGTATTACTATGCATAGAACAACGAACGTTTCCACGCTCACTGCTCGCACACACCTGAAGTTGAAGCCCCGACATGTGAACGCCTTGGCACACTCAGAAATAATATTTAAATAAAATAATAATACATTATTTCAATATTATTATCATTATCAATTCAGTATTACTATGCATATAAAAACGAACGTTTCCACGATCACAGATCACACACACCTGAAATTGAAGCCCCGACATGTGAACTCCTTAGCCTTAGCACACTCGTACTCGCACTCCGCCCTGTCCGGCGTCACCACCGTCGCTTGGATGAACTGCCGCGCGATGCGCATGCGCGGTCGCACCAACCGATAACAGCCGCTTCCTGCGCGCGATTTAAACATAAAAGGTCATGGTCAGGATTGTTTTGTTCATAATTAAATTTGTGCATGCCACATTATCTTCAAATTGTAAATTACTTGAAGCTCCAGATCATTAATCATCATAACTATTTTTTTCTATAACTACCTAAAGTTTCATCGTTTGAATTTCAGTCATGATTTATCTTGCACTGAGAAATATAATCATGCGATTAAGGAGAACCTCTTCATACAAATTTTAACAAATGCACAACCCAGTATTTTGAAGTATTACAAGTGTATGCTGTTCAGTGAGTGAACGCCGCTGCCAAATTCATAGTGAATTAAGGATGAAGATATAACAAGACATTACGCATTTAGTGCATTTTTTGGCGTTTAGCACGACTTCTCAAGAAAAAAGTGGGTCCAGGAGTAATCGAAATTTCACAATTATATACAAAATTCGAAGAAAAAACACGAAATTCGAAGAAAATTAATCTATAGGTATAGATTGCGTAGTTGATCAATTTATCAGTGGCTAATGTTTTTAGAATTTATAGAATTTTCCGTGAACAGATTTTCCTGCGTAACAATTCCACAATTCCGTAAATTCCGAAGCAATTCTCTACACCTGTTTTCTGCGTCTAAATGTTCGCTCGAATACGTTACTTACGCGTCAGTATAACGGCTGTTTATTAGCGTATCGTTATCTACAAAAAAGTATTGTGCTAATTTTTTCCTGTTTTCTCAAAAATTCTGTAATAGGTTTCTCAGTATATATATTGTTTATTTTATTAATTAGTCACAATTGTTATACGCTACAGCAGAAATCGAAATTAATAAATTAGACTTTTGGTTATTCAATAGATTTAGTCCACATAAGCAGCCAAATACAATATCAGATATAAAATAAAATATGCATAAAAATCGTAAGTCCTATTAATGCCATTTTAAGAGCTCCGTGAATGGCACTTTTTAAAGAACATTTCACAGTTTGAAATGTTCTTCCTGAACTGCGGCAGTTCCGTCTTCCTGGGCTACAAATGAATGATCGTCCTCTATATTGTCTATTGATATCCTTTGCCAGGTCAAGTTTGTCGGGCGCATTAGACTGTCATCAACAAAATTGCCTTTTCACGACTTCTATCGACGCAGAAAATTGCTAAACGCACTGAAGTTTAGCGCACTTCCTTACATATTTTTATCACACAACCCTTGCCACAAAATGAATCTTAGGTAATTTAAATAAACGTCATTTAATCTTTATTTTTTATTATAGTTGATACTATATATTTAATTCGGATAAAATGCTGACTTCTATTGAGCTATTGAGAAAAGATGTCTTTAAATATTTCACCTCACTTAATATTGCGAATGTCTAATAAAAAAAAGTTTCCTACCTGCAAAGACCGGCGACGGGCTTTGAAGAGGAAATCCAAATTTTCACGAGTGACGGGAAACTGTCGCGCATTTCTCGTGAGTTCAAACGAGAAAAATTACGACATTGAATCTGCATGCCACCGTGACAAGCCAAATGGAAATTACAACACGCGCAAAACTCGTGCCAATTGCGTCAGCCATGCATTAACGATCGCAATATATCATATTCATGTAACCAGTATATTTTCTACTTAATTGCACTGAAAGATTTAGAATAGAACAATAACACTATATATTAACAAAGTTTTTTTACACTACATTTCAATCATTCCTCCGATAATTTGAACAGAGAATCCGAAGAATTCGAAGAAACGTGTTCTATTGTCCATTTTTTTGTTTAAATAGTCCTTGCGTCAAATGTAAAAACGAATTAATTTCACATACCTTGTTTATATAACTTTTATCCCTTTGCAGGAGCGCATTCATCATTTACCTAAATAATCCAAATAAATATTTCTAATCGCGATGAGTTCGTCATTGCATGTAATGAATGCCAGACTTGTGTTCACGTTTGTCTATGTCGTAAGCTGTACACTCTAATTTACTAAAAAGTCACTGCAGCTCTGTTATGGCCACCCTCTTATATATATACCCAAGGACAGTCGTTGATCATTCAAAGTCTTCCCTGTCATCGAAAGACTTTAATTACAATTTCAACACCTGCAGGCCCTCCTATACAACAAATTCACGTATTTCAATAGCACCTGACTAATGGCTCCCCCATTTTGACTTCAAGGGCGGTCATCAATAATTTGAACTCTTTCCTGTAACCGGAAGACTTTTTAGATCAGGACCTGGGGCAGGGTTCCCGCGTCGTGACCTCGCTGCACTTCACGTCTGCGAAAATCTTCATTCATTGCAGTGCTAATGCGCCAGCAAAATATTGTTTACTAATAAATTTTTTGGCACTTTTTCCTGCGCACACGAATTCCAAGCATGAAAACTGGTTCTGAATACATATGTTGTTAATAAATAGAAAACACCGCGACACACAATGACGGTTGATTTATTAGTGACGTAAAATAATTTGCTATAGTGCCGCTCGAATTGCTGGCGTGCAATTCAAATTTAGCTTCTTGTCGTCTCAAATGCTTCTTCGTCTGTCGCTTCTTGTCGCTGACCTTGCAGAAAGCTGGCAAACCATCATTAAATAACTAGAAATTATGGATCGTCACTCAGGAGAGGGAAATGATTAAATGTTCTCCCCCGTGTGTTAGGTGCCATTCATTGTCTAGTGCCGCAATCTTGCAAGAACCATTTTACTCTCGATTGCGTGACTGTGGAACACACACAAGCTTCCTTGTGCTCGGATATAACGGTTCTCTTTGTAATGATTTGAAATTAGATGTTAATCTGGAATAAAGTCGGACGGGCAAAGGTCATTGATGTTAATGATACCGCAATTTATCTAGTGGAATAATATGTTTGTGCTCGACCAATATCACCCATTCGTCTGATTTACGGGGTTACGGCCGCATACCCTCCGCTGTTCAATTTTAGTAGTAGTTTCTGTTTGGTTTTTCTCTCGATTTTGAAAGCGATGAATCCTTTGAAGTTGGATTTATTTATCCTTTTAGCAAAATATTTTCACAATTCTTTAACTACCTTTACTCATCACAAATTGATGCACGAGCATCATTGTAGATAAGCAAGAATTTGTCCCTGGAGTAATAACAACCGGATATTTACTTATAAGAATCTTAATTCTGTCGCAAATAATCATAACCGACATGAACCTGCTCAATGTTCTGCACAATCGTTACCGAAGCAGGTGTCATGCTAGCTCAGCCTGCTTCACACCATTCTAAGCGCGGAGCGTTCGACAGGCCGTATGATTTAAACGGCGCGTATCACGCTAGCTTAAAAAAGACTAATATTAAGTGGCTCTGTTACAACGCATAGAGAATCTGTCAGTTCCATGTGCTTGCTTCCTCACGCCATCGGTTGTATTACATTACACAAGGCTTACATACAAATTAATACAGAATGGACGATATAAGTAGAAAAGTTGACGAATTGTGGCATTTTAGGTACACCACTGTTGAGTCTGATTTGCAGCATGAGTAAACGGATTTGAATTGAATTGTAGCTTACAGCAACGAAATTGTCTAAATTCTGTCAGTACGGTATTTACTGCAGACTTTAATGCCAGTAAAAATAAAATGCCTTTGATGAAGACGTAGTACTAGCGACGCACAACAGTACCGTTGACCTGTTCGAGTCATGATACACGTGACAAAACTGGTAGCTATAGGGCGCGGACTAGCTGCCGCGTGCGATGACAATGTAGCGGTGTAGCCGGATGCGCGCTAGAACGTGTACTAAACAGCGGTTTTAACGTCTTTAGTACAATATCGCATTTATATTCACGTAAATTATTCATTGATAGGCCGGATTTGGTGTTCAAAATTTGCCATTCGGGTGTCAGGAGTAAGTGTAACGGTAGCTGCTCCTGGACGTAATATGTAAGTTAGAGAAATATGCAGCATACATAATTATTTTTTCCGCGCAACACACACGAAATTTCACCAATGAGTGATTCAGAGCTCCTGCAAACTCACGCGCAGTGGGCTACCGTTACATCGTGACGTCTAAAATCAAATGATTTTTATGTCTATGTTTACTAGATTATTATTATTATTATAAGCTGAGCCTATCGGAGTGTGGTTATTGCAATATCTTCTTATCTATCGTTACAAATATCAGTAAGAAATTACGGGACAGAAGTAACTGTCCTTGGGCAATCTAAATTAAAGAACGATTATATTATTATTTATTATAAATGATTTTAACATTTTTACTACGAATGCATTCACGGAGTGCATGGAGCGCAAAACCGTACCAAATTGGAAAAAAATACTTGTCGTGCAAACAGAACTGACTCGCAATGGATTCGTTTACCAAACTAAAATTAACTATCAAGCTCAGAATTTCCGAAGTTGTAGTCATAAAATTTCGAAGACGGACGTGGCTGAATCCGAGATTTTTTGCGACAATTTCCTGAGCGACGAAGCGCTGTTCCGGACTTGAACTTCTTTCTACTCGGTGTTGCCGTGACAGTTACAATGCATAGCTACGCTCGGATGCAGTGGTCGCTCAACAGATTAATTACCTGGGGAAATACTTACAGTGATCGTGGGCTTTTTGACCTCCATGTCATCACCTCACAAGCCTGCAATCGTTAAATTGAAAGGGCACCACGCGATCACAAGTTCAGAGTGTGAAGCGAATTTGGTATTTAAATTTGTTATAATTGGAAATATTATTTTATAGACATAAATTGATCCGCCCATTTTCAAGATTTTCAAGAGAACAATGAACTGAAATATATTTCGCGAAGAAAGCGCTTACATAGAATCGGATCAAACGGTATGGAGTTGAAATCCTACCAGTGCTTGCTTCTAACCGTGCATTGAACTCGTGTAATCACCATTAAAGCGTTGAACCTTTCCAACAAATTATTATGGTCGTCGAGGTTTTTTCCTACATCGTGACATGCGCATCGAGAAGCAAGATATGTGATCAAAATATCAGTGATGAGCTGCAGCACATCGTGAAATTTTTGCACAAAAGAAAGCGGCTCTGA